ATCTTTACAGAAGGATACTGTCACACCTTTCTCCAGTGGAGTGGCTGGCTTGTTCAAACCACTGACCTTTTGGTTAGCAGCTGACTGCTTAACCACTGCACCACAGGGCTCCTTTCCATCTCACTTGGAGTAAAATCCAAAGTGGTTTCAGTGGTCTATAAGGTCCTATATGATCTGCCCCATCCACTCCCTCTCTCCCTCTCTCTCAATGCTTCAGCCACACTAGCCGTCTTCCAGATTTTCAGTTACCTGAGGGCCCTTGCACTTACTGTCCCCCCTTCTGGATCATTCTCTGTGGTGAAATGAGTTCCTTTATGTGGCCTTTTGTCTTGGTTCTTTGGAAAAACAGCTTGAGAGATTTCTTTCCCCTAAGCCCTGAGGAGTTACCTTTGCCCTAGTTTCTACCCCAGAGGGTTTGTTACTTTTGTCCAGGTTGACACATTTCCTGGACAAGCTGTAAACAGCTTGACTTTTTGTTTGGCCCAGGGCTGAAGTCTGCCCTGTGATTGTATGCACCTTGCAGGGATTGGTCAATATTCTATGTAGATGAAGTGACTGTAGACTGTGCAAATGAAGTGTCTGTAGCCTTCTATGCAAATGAAGTGTCTTTGGCATACTAAGAGGGGATTGGTCAGTTTGTGGACCTGGTGGGAGGTCCATTCCTTGAAACTGATAAGGAGTTTGTTTATGTATGCAGCCACCCCCACAGAGGTTGGCAGACAGAAGCAGAAGAAAGAAAGGAGAGAAGACGCAGAGAGGGAGGTAGCAAGAAACCTCCTAAAAGAGCTGTAACACAGGTCAAGAGCTGTAACACTGAAGACAGTGTGAGGCTCGAAAGAGGCCCTGCAGCAGAGCTGGGAGCAGCAGGCCCAGAAGGGGTCCTGTGGCAGAGAGGCCTGTCCTCAGAGGGCTGAGAAAAACCTTGTCCTCATGGGGTTGAGAGGAAGACTGTCCTCAGGAGGCCGAGAGGAGGGCTGCCCTGAGTTGTAGCCTATTAATCTTGATCCTGTATTGTACCCTGTTACTTCCTTAATAAACCATTAACTGTAAAAAAAAAAAAATCCTTCCCTCACCCAACTCTGTAAGAGGAAAGAAGCATGAAAGAGATTTTTTTTCTCTAGTATAGATTATGACACTCTCTAGAGGGGGCAGAAATAGCTTCATCAGTTTTGATTTTAGTAATTTTTTCCTCCTGTGTACTTGAAACCTATTTATCTTTATACTAAGAGTGTGGGGTTTTTTGTTTGTGTTTTGCTTTGTTTTTAGAGACAACACTGAATTCTTCTTAGCTTTTGTTTCATTGTCTGCAAAAATGAAACATTGGATTAGATGATCCTCTAGGCTCCGTATGTGTTTATATCATTCTTTGACTTTAATCATTTGTTTTCTTTAACAATTACATGCATGGATATCAATTATCAGTTATTAAAAATCTGAGTCATGGTTTTTTTCTTATCTTTAGCAGAAGTGATTAGTCAAAACTCTAATATCACTTTTATTTCATGTCCCTCTCTCTAATTAGTTAGTTGTTTAGGGAATGCAAGTTTTGAGTCAAAGATTTTTAGTTTGAGGCCTAAATGTGTTGTCTTAGTTTGTGTTCTCTAGAAGAGCAAAATCAGTGAGACATGTATGTGTATGTGGCGGGGGAGGGGTGCTGGCAAGTATAAAATCCGTAGGTCATGCGGCAGGCCAGAGATCTCTACAGGCTCACATCCCAACATCCGTAGGTCAGGTGATGAAAGAGTGCAGCATCAAAAGAGAGAGAAAGAGAGTGAGATCTGCCTGCCAGAATATTCATTGTATTCTGGAGGCAGATCACAGCCCCAAAGAGACTCCCCTTTCAACGTATTGATTGATCACATTAGATCGCAACATGGAAAGTGATTACATTACATTATGGAACATCAACCAGTCCAGTGTCTGCCAACGCACTGAGAATCATAGCCTAGCCAAGCTGACACATAGAATTAACCATCACACGTATCACTTCCTATATGTATGATTTAAGGAAAATTATCTATGTTTTCTGAACTTCAATTTTTTTTCAACTGTAAGAGAAAATGTTAATTATAACCATCTTACTGAGTTATTGTGAGGAATAAATGAAATCATTTATATGAAAAGTGTGTGAATTTTAAGACACTATCAAATGCTAATTAACTTGAGAGGAGGAAAGAAGTAGAAACTGAGAAGAAGGGGATGGAGAGATGGGTTCTGTAGTATGATTTGCAACTCTTAGCAGTTAATTTCTGCCCCAAAACTGGCCATTGGTCTTGCACCTTGTTCCCAATATCAAGCGTTGGCAAAGTATCACCTCAAGGGCAGGTGTTGGTTAGTTTAACTGACTTGTGTCACATAGCACTAAAGGAGCCCTGTTGGTGCAACAGTTAAGTGATCAGCTGTTGACTGAAGGGTTGATAGTTTGAACCCACCCAGTGGCTCTTTGGGAGAAAGACCTGGTGATCTGCCCCTGTAAAGAGTATAGCCTACAAAACCCTATGGGGCAGTTCTACTCTGTCACATGGATCACTATGGGTGAAAATTGACTTGACAGCACCTAATAACACCACGCAGCACTATGTTTAAATAAATTTACTAGGTTTTTAATTAGGGTAGAGATGTTGTTGGGTGCCAGCAAGCTGATTCTGAAGCATAGCAAACCCATGTGACAATATAGAACTGTCCCATGGGATTTTCTTGGCTGTAATCTTTACAGATGCAGATTGCCAGGTCTTTCTCCCACAGAGCTGCTGGGTGGGCTTGAACTGCCAACCTGTCAGTTAACAGCAGAACACTTAACCTGTTGCACCTGCAGTGCCCCTTAGTGAGGAGATAACTGGGAAAAATCAAAGCTCTGCTGATTTCTTTTCACTTTTGAAAGCCAGCCTTATATGGAAGCAATGGTCCAGGCACTATCGACTTGTCACATTCTTTCTCAATTACATACACGTTCTTTTTAGACCCTGCAACCATTGAATTAGACAAAAGTTTTATGTGAAAGAAACTGTGTGTCAGAGATAGCTGTTTGGGGAAGAGATAGAATCAGGAAGTCTTGTGCCAGTGTAGGACAGCTTTGCCCGACCCCTAAATGCTTCCCGTGGTTGACTTGCTGTTGCACTGCTCAAAGTGATGATGATAAGTTCCTTTTCTCTCCCTAAGTCCTTAAATACCACTGACCCGTGCATGAGTAGCCATTCACTACTGCACTCCTTGACAAGGTTCACCTGGTGGACTGGTGGAGCTCCCTCATACACACACACACACTGTTGCCTCAGGTCATCAGTATGCTCCTATTCAACTCTTCCTTCCTTCTAGACTTAGCTAAAGGCACTTGCTCCTTTTTTTGACTCTTCCTTCCCCCAACCAAAAAAAAAAAACCCTTGTTGTCCAGTCAATTCTGACTCAGCAACCCTGCAGGACAGAGTAGAACTGCCCCATAGGGTTTCCAAAGCTGTAAATCTTTACAGAAGCAGACTGGCACATCTTTCTCCCACCGAGTGGCTTGGGTCTGAACTGCTGACCTTTCAGTTAGCAGCTGAGGGCTTAACCTCTGCACCACCAGAGCTCCTCATCCTTCCCCAGGACTCTGGAATTCGTCTTTGCTTTTCTAGTATGTGTAACTTTCTCTCCAGTGACTTGTATTTCATTTATAAATGTGATCTACTCTTTCCCATTAAAAAAAATAAAGCCAACATTAGAGAAAGCTATATATTCTTTTGCTTGGTCTTTCTTCACTGTCCAGGGAGACCTTTTCCTTTCTTTGACTTGTCTCTTTATTTCTTCACAATCTCCAGTCTGGATTCTGTATTGGGTCAATGAGCCTCCTCCAGGAAGCAGACTTTAAGACAGAACGAGAAGTGCAAAAGATTTATTGGGGGAAATGTCTGTCATGGACAAAGGGCAGAGGGAGCAAGAGTAGGCAAGATGAGCCTTCAGACTAGGACACAAGCCTATCACCTATGAAGGGGAGAAGGAAGGAAGGATGATTGCATAGAAACAGCTTCAGACTGCCATGTAGCTTTGAGAAAATCTTGGCCACACAGTGGGAAGCCCTAGAGTAAAGAATATCCATTACAGGAGTCCTGGGTCAGGTAGGACTGGTTCAGCTCCAGTACCCCATGGTGCTGAGTCGCTGCCTGGGAGCTGCCCGGGGAGTGTGGCTGAGGCATGAATGCTGCTGCAATAGATTCAGCAGTGGAGCAGCTGGATGTGGTCAGCTAGCTACATTCCTGGAAGCAGATTCTCTCCAAGGGAGATCTGAGCACCACACGTGCATTGGCTGCCACAGGTGCCAATCACTCAGCTGAAGCTACTTTCTCAAAGCTTAAAAATAGTTATGTGCCTCTCTTCTTACTTTTTGCAACTTTTGATGAGCTACTCCTTTTAGATTGGCAAAAATTTTGCTTCTCCAGAGGCGTGCCCACCACGATCTCATAAATAGTCTATAAAAGTATTGCAACTAGGTATCTACTTCGCTTGGTCTGTATGTCTATATACTTACAAATGTATGCTACTTACACCAGCAGAGGACAAAAGCTCTTCATTGTCCATGACTCGAGACATTGCCATTCAGTATTACTTTTAAACCATGTAGAAGATGTTCTGCAATTCAATTATAATATTTTATTTAGTGCTAATATTTTGAGTGCTTCATAAGTGACTGAGACTGTTCTGAGTATTTTAAATATGAACTTTTTTCATCAATACCATAACCCTTTCTAATAGATTCTATTAGTATAGACATTTGACAGAAGAATAAATTGAGGCACAGGGAGGTTAAATAAGTTCCTTAGGACTGCATAGCTAGAAAGTGGTGACACCAGAATTCTAACCCAGGCTGCTGGTCTCCAGAGGTTGCACTGAACCACTGAACATTCCCTGTATATCCAAAACACTTGTTTTGTTTTTTTTAAATAAAATTCTTAAAGGAACAATGTTGACACAGTATCTACTTGTAAGCGTATGTATCATGCAGCAATATTTTGTTTTATGTCTTTCAGGTCCCTGCATTCCTAATCCATGCCATAATGGAGGAACCTGTGAAATAAGCGAAGCATACCGAGGAGACACATTCATAGGCTATGTTTGTAAATGCCCTCGAGGATTTAATGGGGTTCATTGTCAGCACAGTAAGTTATTCTTGGTCATTGTGGTTTTATGATTATTGATTGCAAAGTATACAAGTCATTATCATTGTTGTTTGTAGCGGAAGCATTAAAACTTAGAGGGACAAAGGGCCCTGGCGGTTGGCTAATGTCACTTCTCTCTCACTGAAAACAACACAGATCCCAGCTGATGACTCCTAGACTGTGTTTGGGATTGTCATGGGGGCTAAGTAGTCTTCTAATTAGCCCTTTCTATGATTGTTCAGCTATACTTGCTAAATGCTGTTCTTTATATTAAATCACTAATAACTGTTTCTCACTTCCACACTTATCCTGAAGCTGCATTTTTCAAGCTTCCCAGTATTTATTCTGGTTCAGAATACAAAACAAAAACAAGCAACTCCCCACGCTGTCCTATCTATAAACCAGTATCTAAGTCCTAGCTTGTTCTCATGTTAATGTGAAAATCTTCGAAAATTCAAGTATGTTATCTGTATTTCTCTCATTTATCCCCATTCTTCTTTATCCTGGGAATTTGAGCAAAATAGATCCACTTGTGATGGTTTCTTCTTAGTAGCATGGCTGAACATAAATTCCAAAGGAGAGATGTGGCCACTTAGCTGCTGCAGTTCAGGGATAGGGAGGTCACAGGGAGCTAGAGATGTTGAAAAAGGCTCTCATACAGGCTGCCACTGGGACCTAAACCTTGAAGGAGGGATAGGGTATTGGTCAGAGGGAGGGGAATGGCATATGGTAGGAAGAGTGGGAAGGGAGCATCTGAGCCATGAACACTGGAGTGATCATTAAGAGAATGTGGTGGGAATGAGTAAGGTAAAGCTGGATGTATCTGCTAGAGCAAGATTTCCAACCACTAGCAAAAAATATAGAGTGAATCCTGGCTCTGAGAGTTTGGAGTCTTTGTACTTTTCTGGAGATTTGCCATGGCCAGGAGTTTGTAGACTTTCTGTGGAAGCCTGTTACAGAACTTGGACATCGGTGTTGCTTGAAACTGGCACCTAAATCCTTATAACTATTTCTGAGAGCTCAGATCACCAACTAAGAAATGAGAGGCCCCTGATTTCTCTCAGGCTGAGAGTCAAGAGGTGTTAAGGCTGATTTTCTGTTACTGTAGCGTTACTGCTCAGCCTTCACATGTAAACACCTTGAAATAGCCCTGGAAAGAGACATGGGATCCCTGAATCTTGAAATTTATGCAATGGTGTGGTGAAAAGTATATTACTAGCCGTTAATTTCTTACTTATCAAAATCTTGTGATATGGTGTTAGAAGCAGTGCCAGAGGGGAAGACAGCCAGGCCACCACACTTGAGTCCTTCAATTCTGAACTGCTTGTATACTGCGCACGCTTAGAGAGCGATCCCCTTTGAGATGAGGACAGAGTTTTCATGATGGGCTACTGTTCAGTGTTCAGAAGCTGGCCTTGAACCCAAGGCCATGTGATCATATACAAACAGCCATTAGGCTGGAACACGACTGGGGAATATTTTGTTCTGTTTGCATAATGTCACCATGAGTCAGAGTAGACTCAATGGTAACACAACAAGAACTTCAGGGAGGTAGAAGGTGAAAGTATACAATACCAGATTCTTACTGTTCTGAATCCTTAAAGGGCTTAGAAGGAGAGTATAGGGAGGGCATGTATAGACCCCTAATGCCACTTCAGTATTTCACATTTATTAAGCATCTCACCTGACCTCCTGCTGAAGTCAATGTGAACTTGGGGCTGACTTAAAATGGAGATTGGAAAACTCCAGATCTAAGTTCCCAACCAGTAATATCTGTATGATTATGCAACATTCTTTTCACATCTGTGGGCCTTGTTTCCGTCATATTGTACAGGTCAGTTTGGCTTCAATTATCATTAATGGATTTGAAGTCCTATTAAGGCACCAAGTTATCTACCCCTAAATAATTGAGATTTTGTTGGGAAGGAGTTACTGGACAATTGTCTACCTGCTTCTGATTATCACACATGGTTGGCTTTTTTTTTTTCAAGACTTCTGCAGGTTTGGGGAAATAGAATAAATTATTCTTATCCCCATTCTCCACATGGGAAATCTAAGTCTCTTCTCTCCACACTTACATCATGCTTTAAAAAGCTTCTAAATTCACATAATTGTGTTGAAATTCAAGGCTTGTTTTGAAGCACAAAGAAACCCATCCCCTTACTGCACCCAAACCCCTATAAGACCTCAAACCCATGTTGGGAATTGCAGTGTGAAGCCTGAGACAGAGAGATTCAGTTTGAAATGGGGATTATTGTGGTCTAAACAACCTAGACCCTAGTCTCTGGAGTGCATAGTTATTAGAGGCAACCAGCAATGAATGAAAAAGCACTGGATTTGGAATCCGAGACCTGGATTTAAATCCTGACCTTTTCAGTTATTGGATAAGTGACCTGGAGCCAGCCACTTGACCTTTCTGCAGTTGAAGACATATAAATTGAAGGAATTGAACTAGAAATAGATGATCTTTTGTTCATACCAGCTTGCAGAGTATTATGGCTAAATGGGTAGCTTGCTCACTGTACAGAGTTTATCAAGTCTTCCTCTTTATAGATGAAATTTAAAAGGATTATATATTGGGAAAGCAGATTTAAAAGTGCTGGGAGGGCTTGAAAGCTCCTTCTGGCATTAGAAACAGAGAAAATCAAACCTGTTGCCGTCGAGTTGATTCTGCCTCATAGTGATCCTATAGGACAGAGTAGAAGTGCCCCGTAGGGCTCCCAAGGAGCAGCTGGTGGATTTGAACTGCCTTTTGGTTAGCAACCAAGCTCTTAAGCCACGGCGCCACAAATAGAAGCAGCTCTTTAATCCCTGCGAGAACTACTAGGTATTTGGGTTTGTTTTTCACAGTTGTACAAATATTATGGCCTGATAAGCTCTAGAACCTTACTATTCAAAGTGTAGTCATACATCAGCATCACCTGGAAGCTTGTTAGAAATCCAGATTATCAGGCACCACTGTAGACCTGCTGAATCAGAATTTGTATTTCAAAATGATGCCAGTTGACTCCCACACACACTGAAGTTTAAGAAACACTATGCAAAACTTTTAATAGCCAAATGTGATCATTTCTTAGATTAAGGTGGCAACTTTTTCATTGAATTACATAAAAATAGATCATAGGCAAAATATTCATTATGGTTTTTACAAATCAAAACTATATTGCAAGTCAATGAAAGTAAAAGATGTAAGAAATATAATACGAACATTTCATTCGGAAAAAAGTGGAAAAAATAAGATAGACATATTTAGGGGGTTTATTAATTTAGTGCCATGTGACAAAATGTTAGTTAAATATCTTTTCAAATATAGCTAGGCATTTAAAGACATTTCATGATTAAAGAATTCATAGTATATAATTATTAGGTTAGTTTAACAACTATTTTGTCAGTAAGCTACAGATTAGAAAATTGTCTCCAGTCCCAGATTTAATATTACTGACATAAGCTTTTTGTAAGTAGCATGAGGTTATAACTTTATAAGAATAATAATGATTAGTATTAGTATTATTAGAATTCCCAAATTATACATGGTTTTAAAATACCATAGAATAATGTGAAGAATAGATATATATGTATATGTATAGTAATATGGTAAGTTATAGGATGAATTGAGCAACCAAATGGCTAGAGATGAGACTTTTGAAAGGCATTTTTAAACAAACAGTTTTCTACTGGAAGCTGTGTTTTGGGCTGGGTAGAAGTAATCGTGTTTGATTTGTTGCATAGTAATAAATATAATGCCTTAAGGAAGGACTGCTTCCTCATTCCCAGAAATCTTTGCCCATCTTCCCACTCAAGGCATTCTGTGAGTTCTTCCCTACCTCTGTACAGCTCCATGTTCTTAACATTCTTTAAGAAAAAAATTTGAGTGCATATTCCACAAGGAAGGACACCTGATCTAGGAGCCTAATAAGCCCTACAAAAAGTGGACTGGTTTAAAGAAGTGGCCCAGGTTATCAGATTAGTCCAAGATAAAATCCTCTCTAGTTCTTTCCCCCACTGATTTCATTACTCAGAAAAAGTGTGTAAAAATTTACTTTTTATATTAAAAACAAGGTTACTCTTCATTTTATATTATTGATTAACGGATTCATACATTCCACAAATATTGAGGTCACGAGTCATTTTACTTGTGTGTTCCCTATTTTTACACAAATAATGCATGGCTTCTACATTTGTTTGCTAACCACTCCCTTGCCCACGAGATATTTTCATAAGCACACTATGCTAATTTTTTTACAGCAACATGTTAAAAAAAAGCAATTACTCGCTTTCTCTGGTAGGTGTTGCTTGTTTAGCATGCAAGTTCCTAGTCCCAATTCAGCCCTATTAAATCAGAATCTTTGAGTGGTACCCTGAATTTAGTTAAAGTGCCTGGATGATCTTTAAGCACACCAAGTTTGAGGACTTGAGGTATGATCATTTACCTTCAATGTTCTTACCAATCTCCAGTATGTACTGGAGGAAGGATGCTGTTATGGGAGGGATCCTGGATTAGACCCGGAGTTTTGATGCAAGCTCTATCTTGATCAATTGATGTAGAGTCAGTTGGTACTTTATGGTTCTGTGCCTCTGCTTTCTCATTCAGCAATTCAATACATGGTCTTTTGGGCTGGAAATATCTTCTCTGTAAAACCCGGAACTAATAATCCTCTGGAAACTCTGGTGGCATAGTGGTTAAGAGCTACAGCTGCTAACCAGAAGATCAGCAGTTCGAATCCACCAGGGACTCCTTGGAAACTCTATGGGGCAGTTCCAATCTGTCCTATAGGGTCCCTATGAGTTGGAATCAACTTGACAGTAACGGGGTTTGAATAATCCTTTGGTCTATGCGCAGGTTCTTTAAGATCATGATTAAGTGTTCTGGAATTCCCATTCTTTGCAATGTTATCCATACTTTGCTATGATCCACACACTCAAATGCCTCTGCTTTCAGCCAAGATCCATCTGACATCAGCAATGATATAACTTGTTCCACATCTTCTTCTGAATCTGGC